ACCTTGTATGTGCTTGAAGGCAACACGATTGTTGGTTCAGCATCTCCAGCCTTTAGTTTTGATAAAAAGGAGTCCGATTTGACACTCTTGTGGCATATGAGGCTGGGGCATGTTAGTGAGAAAGGCATGCTCATAATCAACAAGCAAGGACTTCTTGGAGGTTATAAAGTTGTTGAACTAGGCTTTTGTGAGCATTGTATCTTTGGAAAACAAAGGAAAATGAGTTTTTCAAAAGCTGTCCATAATACCAAGTCTACTTTGGACTATCTACATGCTGATTGTTGGGTCCTTCACAGGTCCCTTCTCTAGGTGGTGGCCGTTATTTCCTCTCAATTGTTGACAATTACTCTAGGATGACTGGGTGTTTATCATGAAACATAAGAGTGAGTCGTTTGAGAAGTTCAAAGAATGGGAGGTTCTCATTGAAAATCAAGTTGGGAAGAAGATAAAAAGGTTGCGAACTGATAACAGTTTGGAATTTTGTTCAAATGAGTTTGATCGGTTTTGTAAAGATGAAGGAATTGCAGGCATCGAACGGTTAGGCACACTCCACAGCAAAATGGAGTGGCCGAAAGGATGAATAGAACGCTGCTAGAAAGGGTCAGGTGTGTGCTGTCAAATGTAGGGTTGTCGAGAGGTTTTTGGGATGAGGCGTTAAACACGGTTTGTTACCTGGTAAATAGGTCTCAACAATAGGTCTCCGGCAACAGCAATTGGTTGTAAAACCCCTATTGAAATGTGGTCCGAAAAGCCAGCTGATTACACAAATTTACGGGTGTTTGGTTGTCCTTCATACTACCATGTGAGTGAAGGAAAGTTAGAACTAAGGTCAAAGAAGGGGTTGTTTATGGGATATGGTGCTGGAGTAAAAGGGTATAAAATCTGGTCACTAGATGAAAGAAAGGTGATTCTCAGCCGTGATGTAATATTTGATGAAGGAAGTATGTTGCGTAACGTGCGGTATTCGTCTACTTCATCTACTTCAAAAGACCAAGAGGAGACGATCTCCGAACAGGTGGAACATGAGTTCAATGCAACTGATGAGGGTGAGAATGTTTCTGGACAGCACAGTAACATGACTGAAACAGGACCTGTTGAGTCCGAAAGTCAATACCAGCCTATGGATTTTCGGTCCATATCGTTAGACAAGCCTCGAAGACAAGTTGGTAGGCTGATTCGGTATGGTTTTGATGACATGGTGGCCTATGCGTTACAAGTTGCTGAAGAATTGGAGTTCTTTGAGTCATCTACTTATAGAGAAGCAATCACAACAAAGGAGGCTGATGTGTGGATAGCAGCCATGAGTGAAGAAATGGAGTCCCTTCACAAAAATAGGACTTGGGAATTGGTGAAATTACCTCAAGGCAGAAATGTTGTGACCTGTAAGTGGATTTTTAAGCGGAAAGAAGGGCTGCCAGGAGCTGATAATGTGAGATTTAAGGCTCGTTTGGTGGCTAGAGTTTATAGCCAAGAGCAAGGGGTTGATTATAATGAAATCTTCTCACCGGTGGTGCGTCATACATCCATTCGAGTGTTTTTGGCACTAGTAGCACAACAAAATTTGGAGTTGGAACAGTTGGATGTTAAAACAGCATTTCTGCATGGAGATCTTGAAGAAGAAATTTATATGAGTCAACCGGAGGGATTTGTGGTTCAAGAAAAGGAAGATTATGTTTGTAAGCTCAAGAAATCGCTTTACGGGTTGAAGCAATCTCCGAGGCAGTGGTATAAGCGATTTGACAGCTTTATGGTGGAACATGGTTTTAATCGAACCCCTTATGATTGCTGCATATATCATAAGAAAGTAGCTGATGGTTCACGTGTGTATTTGCTACTTTATGTGGATGATATGTTGGTAGCAACTCGAGATATGGCTGAAATTAAGAGGTTGAAACAACTCCTTAATTATGAGTTTGATATGAAAGATTTGGGGGCTGCTCAAAAGATATTTGGATGGAAATAGTTCGAGACAGATCTAGACATAAACTTTTCTTGTCACAGAAAAGTTACATTTTGAAGATACTTTCTCGGTTTGGTATGGCTTCGGCAAAGCCTTTGAGCACTCCATCATCTGCAAATTTCAGGTTATCGGTGGCTTTGGCTCCTCAAACAGAAGCAGAAGTGGAGTATATGAGCAGAGTTCCTTATTCAAGTGTCGTGGGAAGTCTTATGTATGTTATGGTCTGTACTAGGACTGACATAGCTCATGCCATTAGTGTCGTTTCTCGCTATATGGCTTGTCCAAGAAAGGAACATTGGCCTGCTGTCAAGAGTATTTTTCGGTATGTTAAAGGTTCAGCTAATGTGGGTCTCATTTATGGAGGAAAAGGAGACAGTTTTGTTGCTGGGTATTCAGACTCAGATTATGTAGCTGACTTTGACAATCGAAGATCATTAACGGGTTATGTATTCACTGTTGGAGATGCCCTAGTGAGCTAGAAAGCAATGTTACAGCCATTAGTTGCTTTATCCTCAACAGAGGCTGAATATATGGCACTTACAGAGGCTGCCAAGGAAGGGATTTGGCTGAAGGGTCTGCTTGGAGATCTTGGATTTCATCAGGATCAAGCTGTGATTTTTTGTGACAGTTTAAGTGCTATTTGTCTTGCGAAAGATCAGGTGCATCATGAAAGAACGAAGCACATAGATGTTCGTTATTATTTCATACGATCAGAAAGAAGAGTTAAAAAGAAGACCCAGCTGATGCACTTACTAAACCTGTTTCTTTAAACAAGTTCAGACATTGTTTAGATCTCCTAAACATTGATAACCGGAAGTAGAATCTTTGTAGAATTAAAGTCAAGGTGGAGATTTGTCGGGTGTGACTTTAATTCTGGTAGACAGCTGGTTGCTAGTTCTGTTAGTCTGTTATTTCTTTCCTGTTTAGCCTATAATTAAGTGGGGGCAATCATTTTAATCTCTGTTCATTTTTCGTCTAATAAAATTCTCTGCCTCACGCATCCAAATTCACTAAGAGATTTCCAGTAATTTCTAACAAAAAATAAAGCCCAAAAAAAAGAAAGACTGGAAATAAACCCAACTATCTAAAATCAGAGACTGAAAATAAAGCCCAACCCCCCCAAAGTAACGTTAATATCGAACGCAATTGACCCTAAATATCGGTCAAAATTGCGGTAAATTGCAATTTAAATCGCAATTTGACCACCATTATTTTGTTAATGTCCGCTATCCGAGATATCGCTGCAATTAACAACATAGCTATGCTGTTAATAGCGGTGCAATAGTGGTGAAATAGCGGTTCGCGGTCCTGGAAGGAATTGCGGGGTTACATTGTGGTCCTAAATAACGGTGCCGAGGATTGCGTGCTATTTACCGCTAAATGGCCGCTTTTTACACAAAATAGCGGTCCGTATAACCGCTATTTGTGGCTAGGCTTTTTTTGTCTAACCAGCTTATGTTGGACCTATTTAACTGATTTGGGCTTTTATTTTGGACTTGGACTTGTTCTTTTTAATAATTTAAATCATTTTATCCATCTATTTATCTTTACGGGTCAATGATTATAAAAATTTAGGTTTTCAACATCATCGAGCATTCACCACGTTTCCTAAATCCTTCCATGATCATTCCAAGTCTATTAGTGAATTTCTTTTTTTGGGACTATTAGTCTATTAGTGAACTTCTTTTATATTGATTACACATAATATGTTTAAGCTATTTATACTTTTATGATATATACATACATATGTTATGTATATAATTCCATATATAAAATATCATGAACCACTATTTTTGGACCGCTATATCACCGCTTTACCACAGCGATAATCGCTATTTCAAATCACAGTACTTACCGTGATTTGGTATTTTGACCACTGTAACAACATAACTTTAGAATGCAGTTGCTTTTGAGATGTTTGAATTACAGCTCACTATAACTATTTAATGGGTGAATAACCACCCTTCCTGCCTTCTGAAACTGTGTTGACAAATGATTCTTAACAACCAGACAATTTTACAATAGCTACCATTTTAGAATATAGTTTTGTAAGCCCTTTGTTTATGCGCAAAATGCAATCTCATAATGAAATGGCAGTTTGCAGTCTGGCCCTTGCGATGTTTGAATGCATTATTAACATTGGATGAAACAATGACTGCTGTTGTCGGAGTTCTATTTATTTCTCCCGACACCCCTTTGGAAATTAGTTCAATCATGACCGCTGTTGGGACAGTCTTATTTACTTGCACTTCCATGACAATTGACTAGAACATACAAGGAAGTGAGAGAAACCCGCATGCGATCACCGTATAGTGCTGTAGCTACCTCCGCAACCCCCAATGGGTGGAACAGGATTCTTTAAGAGAATCACCTTCTGACAATTTTTAAATGCACGACCTTGGGATCTAAAAACGCGTCTCCTTAACAGAAGAATATCTCTTCCTAACACAATAATGCCTCAAAATCTGTCAGAAGGTCATGTATTTAAAAATAACCTGTCAGAAGGTTATTATTCTAAATAACCCATGTGGAACATCCCGCCCTTCCCTCCGAGATGGATCCAGGAGAGGGCAAGAAGAAGGAAAGTCATCTTTATGTTGTTGACAGATTTGTTATTTTTCTGACATGCTCTAGACTTCAGAATCATATGGTTAACTCGTTATGTAACGACCATCCAATCTACTTCCAACCCCTAGGGGTTGTCGAGCAGTTGGTAACTTGGACCTGGTGCCTCATGAAACATTCATCAGGTGCTATCAATTTGTTGGGGACATGCCCGAAACTAGGTTTTCAGAACGTATCTTATATGCATCTTTCTTTCGCACACTTCTCACAAGTCAGGGGTATTCATGGAAACAACCACTCTACTCTTGTGCTGGAGGTTTGGTCTGCGTACATCTTACCCCTCCTAGCCCCCACCTCTAGATGGGATATACGGGACTCGTTTAGTTTGGTATGGCATAGAAACTGCTTATTTTGATAACATCTATCCAGTTATACGATCTTTATGATTGTACTTACACTAGAATTGTGGATGCAGGCAACCGAGAGAAGGTGAGATGGAAAGCACTCACAGAAGAACATGCAAGGGACAGCTTTGAGAATCTTCTCTTTAGTGTATGCCGGTTCCGGGAGCTTACTGGCTCCTATCCACAAAATATCACCGTACGTCACTTTATCCTGTTCCCACTCATAAGCAAAAGAATGCAGAATTGAACAGTTAAATTTCTTGTAAAAAGTTTAATGAAGTTGTTTTGTTTCAGAATTAGTTACTTGATGAAATCATAATCGGTTTCCAATGGAATGTAGGTTGTGGGTTATGATTTCAAGAAGGAACGGTTTGTTAATTTGCACCGTTCTGCAATCGGGTTCCCAGAGACAAGATTCTTCTATTTGGGCACTCCGGCTGCAACAACATCAAGGCAAGCGGCATTAAAAGGCGAGGCATTAGTGAGAACCCAATTCGAACACGATCCTTATGCGTGCTTAGGCTCACTTCATCGCAAAAAGATTGGTCGTGACCCTTTTCACAGGTCAATACCGTACCCCAATGGCTGCCCTGAAATTGAAGCCTTGTTCAGATACTGTGGGTCTGCGACATATCCAGGTTCCGTTCCTTGGGGTTAAGGAAACTGATAATGTTTGCCTTTTGTTCTATATTTTAGGATTGTACGATTTTGAAATGATATAAGATAGAACATAGATGTCTTTGATATATCATATATAGAGAGAGATATATAATGAAATTTACTCGTAACAAAAATATGATACAATAAATTCCGTTAATCGAGTTCCAAAGGATATCATACAGTAAATTATATGAGATTCATACACACGTTCATCTACGAAGACTAGGGATAATGACATGGTGTGACTAATGCATTTGGCACATTAAGGGGCTGTTTACGAATACAAATTGGGTAATCGTTAACTGGGTAAGAGTGCTGTCTGGGTAAGACGTTTGGCTTGCGCTGACCTGAGAGCCCTCACTGCCAAGGCACAGCGATGCAATTATCAAGGCCGTGCTCTACCCTGAGTGAGTAAGAGAGCCTGTCCTTCTCTAACGAGTCAGCATCTTGGTGCGAGTGCACAGTAAACAACCTCACCTCTTACTGGGTAAGCTTCTCTTACCCAGTAAGAGGCTGTCAGCAATTAGTAAACAACCCTTTACGCTTGACGGTCACAATGATGCTCCGGACTTTACCACCACACTTCTGTAGTTCTGTGTACATTTGACCACAGTTTTTTTCACTTAGGCGGGGAAACTTGGAGATAACGGTGAGAACCAATCTTAGGGGTGTAACTACGGCTGCACATGGGTTGGATTGGCCGGGTTGAAGGCATTTGCACAACCCAATCCAATGTTTGCGGTTTGAAAAATCTCAACCCAACCCAAGAGAAACTACAACCCAACCAAACCCAAACGGGTTGGTCAGGTTGAAACTTTGCTATTGAGTTGTGGGTCATAGGGCGGGCAGCTTAACACAAATATCGGGTCATTTTACAATCTAGTTAAGTGTTTTTGTTTAAACGAAGTAAAATTAAAATGATAACATACAAAAAAGACTAACAAACTCAAAAAAGAAAGTTGAAGGTTCATGTAAATAAGAAAATAAAATTACGGATGATATTGTAATATAATTTTGAATATAGCTAATTATGGATTGCTATAATGTCTAATGTATATATGTTAATCAAGGACTTAAAAACCATATTAAATCTATAGTATAGAAGTGCATCGGGTTCATTAGGTTGAGTTGGCCCCAAAAACCTAAACCTAATTTCAACCCAAAAGATGCGGGTAGGTCTAATTTTATATCAACTATGTGTCGGGTCAGCTCGGGTTGAGTTTTTCTAGGTTTTTTGGGGTCGGATTGATCGGGTTGGTCATTATTTTGAGCACCCCTACATGTAACTAGATTGGATATGTCATCATATCCATATGCTCTTCTAATGTCTCAAGATTTCCAAAAAAAATCGATATCCCTCAAACTTCCCTGAACCTTTTCTAACCCGGAGGTCTTCATGGAATCAGCCTTTTTATTGCTAGGGATGGAGGTATAGTCTGCTTACATCTTACCCTTTTGAGACCCTACATTTGAGTGAGATTTTCTGAGTACGAATGGTTTGGTTTGGTTCCTAGAGTTGTCAAAGCTTTACACTTTGCACAATTCAGGGGTCCTCACAGAAATATACGTTCTACTTTTGGGGCAGAAGTGAGGTGTGCATCATCTCACCCTCTAGACTCCACCTTCGAGTGAGATATACTGTACTTGCTATTTTCTTGTTACAAAAGAGCTACTGTATTTAACGCCTACAGTTGTCAAAAAATAGCAAACAGAAAACTAGTTGCCTACCAACGATACTTCTTTATCGTACCATTTTGCAGTTGATCGTAGTACGTTGGTTGTTTGAAAACRAARTGTACAAGTACAAACCTTTGAATGCTTATACATCTACAAAACTAGTCTTTATCATTTAGAACTATAATTGATGAGCAAAATGTGAGTAAATTTTGGAAAATCTCTGCACTGGGTTTGAAATCTCAACCTCAATGAAGTCACCGGGGTTTTTTTTTTTTTTGATCAACCTGGATATCCAACCCGCTATATGAGCCGACTAATCCCAGGACGACCACCTGCTTTGCAGCTAGCCCGGAGTCACCGCATTTGAACCTTCGTGGCCACAAGGGGGTTTTTATTTCTCCTTAGATTTGAACGTGAGACCTCCAGGTACTTTTGATCTTTGGAGCCAAGCTCAAACCAACCAGGCACCACCCTTGTTTTGAGTTCTCAACAAAATAAACATTTTGGTAACTCTGTTTTTAATACAGTTACGGTTTTCTCGAAAACGTAAATGCATAAATAGATGATACAATTAGGGTTTACAACCATGAAATACGTAAAGATTTCCAACATGTCTCAGAAGACACAGTACAAAGAAAAATAACAAGAAACATAATTCTGTTTATCCCTTATTCATTTGTGTAGCAAATGGTGCATTCTTTTAAGAAAACGGGCAGCTTGAAGACGCCCCAGCGGTGATGGAATCACCGCCAGTGGTTGCACCTGCACCCTTGATCAGACCCGCAAGCAGCTCTCCTCTGTCGTAGAAGAACTCCACCTTTACGATCTTGAGCTGTTCATCCAACTGGTAAAAAGATTCCCGGAATCAAAACATCAATCATTCAAGTCAAAAAAACCATTAGAGTAGAGCCCAATATATCCCACTTAGAGGTCGGTTCTAGGGATAAGATGTATGCAGATCTAACTTCTACCTCAAAGAGTAGAACAATTGTTTTTATGAAGACCCTGACGTGTGAAAGTGCCAAAAAGAGATTGAACTAAATGGGCCCAGTATATCCGACTTAGATTTCTAGGATGTATGCAAAACCTGAACTCTACCCCCAAAGAGTAGAGCAGCTATTTCCTTGAACACTCTGTCTTGTGAAAAGTTTATTCTTTTAAGGTATTACTGGTCTTTAGAACAGRAAAAAGGTTGGTTAATGTGATTATAGATAAAGTTGATTAGTAATCTTCACCTGCATTGTAGAAATGCCGAACATTTCTACCATTTCTCCGGTTGGCGGATGACCTTTGAATGGACCTTCCATGTAACCCCAATGCCTGAACTTGTACACAATCACCGGAGGACCCGAGTAAACCTGGASAATCTCCACAGCAAAACCACGCGGAAATGTGGTGGTGAAGATTTTGAGAGCCGAATCCGCATTTTCGTCATTAGGATTATACAGTCGTAGCTGTTCTGGCAACGAAGTTTGAAGAAACATATTGTATCCTCCACCTATCTTGGCTATCCCTTCTCGTGTCAAAGGTTTCCTGCCTACAAATTATAAGTTGGCAGGATATCAACAGTTATTCATAGAAAACACCATACTCGAAGCTATAGTCTACTGTTTATAAACCAAGCGAACCCGGTATGTCCCGTTATGCTCACAAAGATGCACAAGGCCCAGGCTTTTTTGAGCTTCACAGCCCGTTTTTCAGTGAGCAAAAACAGCCATGGGGCTTTGGGGTTCAACGAGGGCCCGATCAGAGTTTTCAGGCTGGGCTTTAAATTGGCCCTGAAATTAAGTCGGCCTGGTCGGGCTTTAATAAGGTTTAGGGTTTTGGCTTAGGCTCTTTCTTTTGTGCAGAGTGCAGACTTGGCCTCTATCTTGAAGAGTCGAGTTTCAACTGCTTGGTTTTATCTCTTGGTGAAAATGGAAATAACAGAAATTGAGGGTTGTATCCAGCTTACCATTAACAGAAACTGTCAACTTTGTGACATCAACAGTTTTGAAATCTTTGGGTTTCACTTTGTGGAATAACTCCATTTCCCATGTCTTTACAAGATTCTGAACTTGCTCTTCCAATGAACCTGTGGGCCAAATCTTACCATCCAAAGTACACAAACATCATTTTGACCACTTAATCATTCAACACCAGACCATTCAGCAATTATCAAACAATCCCTTTCAAAATTAAAAAAAAAAGGAAAGAGGTGAGAAAATGGGTACCTTGGTTCTGCCTTCTTCAAAGAGCTTGTTGACAACATCAAAGTTTGGAGGTGCACCCAACTTCCATGTGGTGTTCTTCTCACCTTCCCCACTCATGAAGCATCTGTACTTGTCCACATCTGAACCTTTGTATTGATCCATTGCTACTGGGTAACCTTTACTTCTTCATATCACCCCCTTTTATATACATATATATACACATATATATACATATATATATATATATATACACATATATATATATATATATATATATATATATATATATATATATAAAGTAAGTGGAAAGAGGGCGTGGGTAGTACCAGAATGTTTTCTTTATTGTTCCTTTAAACAATGGTAGGAGAAATTAATTTATTATAATTTCTTGTATCAAAAGAAAGAAAAAGTCATAGCAGACATTATTTTTTTTTAATTAATCTGGATATCCAACTTGTTATGCGAGCCGACTAATCTTAGGGAGACTACCTGTTTTGCAGGTAGCCCGGAATCACCGTATTTGAACCTCTGTGGCCACAAGGGGATTTTTGTTCATTCTTGGATTTGAACGTGGGACCTCCAGGCACTTTTGACCTTTGAAGTCAAGCTTAAACCAATAGCAGACATCATTTTTCATTATAAATTACATTGATGCCAGAAAGATAAGGGTTTTTTTTTATGGAAACAATCTCTTTGTCTCAAAGTGGATGAAGATCTTAACTTTTCATACCATGTGTTACTGTTTGATTGGTTTTCTGTTAAGTCCTGTATGGATAAAACTGTCTATGTGGATTAATTTATGTGTATAGGCCATGAAGGTTTTTGTTTGGGAAGTTTTTTAGTATTTGGAATGAGCGTGTTTTTTTAACTTGGAGAAAAACACTTGATTTTCTACATAAAGCTCCCCTTAGAAGCTTATTAAATAAGTTATTTTCTATGTCATTAAATTATCTACCAAATATTTATATAGTTGACCGACTAACCTGTTAAGTGGGATTAATTTGACTGATTTATTGATTCAAAAAGCGTTGTTTTAAGAAAAAATGGCTTTTGGCCACCAGATAGAAAGTCGCATATGACCTTTGAAATGTACTGTAGTAGCTTTGTGGGATACTTTGGTCAAAAAAAGTATATATATATATATATATATATATATATTTTTAAATATGATTTAGATCTAAAATGATGTGTTTGTTTATTAACAATCATATATTTTTGAAGTCAATTATGTTAAAAAATGTAATCTTATTAAAAAGTGTTTTAATATTTGATTACTGTTAAATCTATACTATATTTTAAAGCATTTGATAAAAAAAATTAAAAACCATTTTTATACATGAAGTACTGCATATTGATAAATATTAGTTAAAATTCAAGATTACAGGTAAATTGTACATAGGTACAATTTATTAAGCTCCATATTTGAATTTGTGTAACTAACTGTAAATAAATATAATTAGATACAAGATAAATTCTCACTTTAAATATATTTAAAACATAATTAGGATAATTATTGAGTTCTAACAGAATACTTAGTTATTATCTTTATAAAAACTATATTATTAAACCAAAAACAGATTACTTCGTCATTAAACCTAAATTAATTTGTAATAAAAAAATTGAATTAAATAAATTACACTATTTTTTATAATTTTTATAATATCTTCAAATTCATGTTTAAAAAAAATTATTTTTTGCTTAAAACCACATAAATTCATATTATAATATCGACAGAGACCAAAAAAGCAAAACGAAACATAAAAATCAAGATATATCTCGCTGCATTGCTCAAATACCCTTCTAGTTATATTAAAATGGTGTTTATTATTTTCTTGAGAAACAGATTCTCAGAATTACTTATTTGGAGGATAAAAATGATATTGTTTTCGCTTTGGTTTTTATTTTGGGAACGTTAATTTGATCATTGTCTTTTTAAGTGAGGAATGTCGAACGTTGACTCTTTGAAATGCTAGTTTTTTTGAAATAGGATAAAATGTAACGAAGTTTGATTTAGTTTATTTTTGGGTGTTTTGAATGAGAAATTTTCTCTATAAAATTTTTAAAGTTTTCTATTTTGTATCCATTTTGATATGTAATAGGTGAGATAGTGACGTTTGATGATGTGGATATCTGTTTATGAGAGATTTACTAAAAAGCTATGATGAAATGAATAATAAATTTTGTAAGACCCGAGTTTTAAAAATACATTCTCGTTAACTTATCTGAATTATACCATAGTTATAATAACGTTCGGTAATTATTTAAGGATTAAAACCATCAAATTACTAAATTTATTATAATTATAATATTATATATATATATATATATATTTATATATATATAAAAGAGAGAGTAAAAAAACCCATCCATCATCCTGCTTCTTCTTCATTCTAACCGCCTCTCATCTCTCTTTCTTTAACTTTTTCTTCTCTATAAAATATTTTTCAAATCGTTGAAGCAATCGAAGTAACGATTATATATTCGGAATCCACTCTCCGAACCCTTCATAAAGGTATAAATTTTATTCGCTTTTATTAGGGTGTTTATGATAGCATTTTTTTAGACTGGTTTATAAATTATGTTATGTCTAAGTTTACGGATTGATATTGTTAAAAGTATGATATATTTCATGTTTAGAACGATAGGATTGGGTAAATTGATGTAGAAATTAAAAGGGTAGATTATGGTTTCAATATAATTATATTTGGTTTATATGTTTAACGGCACATCAATTGTTCGATATAATGTTGAAAAGAGTAAAATTGCATGATTAAGCTTAGGTTAGCAACCATTGGTCTTGTTTTGCTGTTTAGTATGTTGAAGCATGTTTATAGCATGTAAATGTAGCGAATCATGGAATTTGGATTATAAAAGTTAGTCGGGAATTGCGGAATCGGATTTTACCGACTATGCAGGTCCATACTTTGACAGTGTATAACTTACAAACCGTAAGTCGGAATAAGCTTATATTTTGCAGTTAGAAATCCCTTAATATATACTACAACTTTCATGTAGGATCGAAAATCCAGTTATGACTCTAAGTGGCTCGAAATAGTGTGTTTTCGAGGCTGTTTGCAATGTATTTAGGATTGATCTGCTGAATTGTAATATTCATATAAAATATATGGATAATCCAAATGAGGTGATTCGAAAGCTAGTAGTTTCACTGCATATCATACTACACCTTTCATTTAGATAGTATTTTTTTTTATTGATCTCTAAGTGGGGTAAAAATGCTCCCGAAAATGAAGGTAAAAAGTTGTTAAAAGTCGAATCGGAATTATAAAGCCAAGTGTTGCGTCAATTTCGTAATACATATTGGGTTATCGTATTTGAAGTTTAAGTTGTTTATAAACATGTAGGACCTACGTAATTTATTAGTAAAATTAAGATATGATCTTACGCCGTTTACGTAATAATTGATTTGCGCATTCGTTAGGCACGCGAGCAAGTCGAACTTTACCGTGAATTCCGTTTGATCGTGTTTACTTCTCTATTCCGCTTAAGGTATGGATTTCATTTTCTTTGACTCTTGGGCAACTAGTTGTTGTAGTTGACCCTTCGTAACGGTGGTTCACCACTTTGTGGTTGATCGCTTAAAAGTGGTCAATAAATTACGTATATATATATATATATATATATATATATATATATATATAAACTCTTGAATCTTTATCGTAAACTCTTGAAGCTTTATCGTGAACACTTGATTTTAGTCCTTGAATTGTATGTTTGAATCTTTCAAGTTTATTAAATTGATTYTCATATTTTGAAGTAATTTCGAGTTTTATGAAGTACTTTGAAGGTTGACTTTTTATGAACGTCATCCGGGTAATGGCACATGTTTAGTTTTATTGGTTTTCAGAACAACTCAATTAATAGGCACATTATTTGGGATGCCTTCTATGGCGGCTTTGTAATCATGGCGTCCTGCAGGTGAACTCGGTCCACATAGTTAGGCCAATAGTGGCTTACGTGAACCCACCTTGTGGACTAGGCCGATTTTATTGGCTCCAGGGCGGATGGATCGATCCTGGGATTACTCACATGTGACCGTGGTTAAATTCACGGGGGACTCGGGGTGTGTGCCCGCACGCCGGCCCAATAGTTCGTGTGTTTTGGCCACCCCACGAACACTACAGGAATTGACGAATTGTGTTTAAATGATGTTTTGAAATGAGAACTGTGAAACGTCTTGGTTTCTATGAATTCAGTTGAATTGATTTTTAAGTCTTCCGCTTTATTATCGATGTTACGTATTATTATTTCAAGTTTATGTTACAATCTGTTCACTGAGCCCCGTGCTCAGCCGTGTTCTTGTTTTCTGACACGGCAGGTTCCAAGTGATACTGATAGGGACGAGACTTGAGATCGAATGTTTGACTTTTTGGAGTTTGGTAAACTCATTTGTAGATGTATAATATTCTAAGCTTATAAATAGTTGTTAGAATTTTAATATTTTGGATTGTAAAACATGTGTTAGAAGTTAATCTACGTTTAGAGTTTATTAGTAACTCTGAAATGTTTGTGTCTTTGAACTACGTCCCGTTAGTGACACCGTCCGTTCCGGACCACGGGGACGGGAGGATGTTACAAATTTGACATCCACGTTATCAAATATTACAAAATGAGAGTAAAGAATTTAAAAAAAAATTGGAACTTGGTTACATTAAATAGAAAATCTTGAAACTTTGTTATATTGATTGATAATTCTTTTTTTATTTATTATTATACTAATAGAAAGTAGAAAGTAAGGGGCCGTTTACCAAACGTTTATCCAGATAAACGCTTACCAACTCGTACTACCATACCGGATGAATATGACAAAGACCAAGAAACAAACCCGGTAAGAGCGAGACAAGGACCAAGAGTCTTACCCGATAAGTGAGGGCAACAACTCTAACAAGGATAAGAGCTTATCGTGTAAATTGTTGCATATGATACCGTTTCAGTTAGACTAAAATCTTACCCACTAAGTAAATAATAGTGTTGAATTTTACCGATAAGCAATTACCGGGTAAGTTTTTGGTAAACGGCCCCTAAGACAAACTTTGTTTTTTTTGATGTATTTTTCCCTCTAAAATAAGAATAAAAAGAAAGTTAATTTCTCTTTGTGCAATTTACTTTTTAATTTTATTAGATTAGTAGATTTTTAAACAAAGAAGGCTAAATACCGTGAGAAAGTAAAAAGAGTATGTTTGAAAAAATCGATATCCCTCAAACT